TTAAGGAGTATGCTACCATGCCAGACTTCTTTGACATATTCTTATGGTAAATACTGTTTTTTTTTAAAAGTAATGTTATATATATTTAAAAATATTTTTAAAAATTTACATGTATGTGTATGAGTCAAGTGCACAATGTGTGTGCAGGAGCCTGGAGGCCAGAAGAGGACATTAGATCCTCTGAAACAGCAGTTACAGACAGTTGTGAGCTACCATGTGGGGTGCTGTCTTTGACATATTCTTATGGTAAATACTGTTTTTTTTTAAAAGTAATGTTATATATATTTAAAAATATTTTTAAAAATTTACATGTATGTGTATGAGTCAAGTGCACAATGTGTGTGCAGGAGCCTGGAGGCCAGAAGAGGACATTAGATCCTCTGAAACAGCAGTTACAGACAGTTGTGAGCTACCATGTGGGGTGCTGATAAGCAGAACCCAGGTCCTCTGCAAGAGTAATAAGTGCTCTTAACTGCTGAGCCATCTCTCCAGCCACAGTAACGATATTTTGATTTGAAAAGCTTACATTCTTTATCCTTAAATGGGCCCAAATATTACATTACAAATTTTAAATATAAAGAAGGTATATTTCTGATTTTTCTATGATGAGAAATTGCACCTTTTATTCATGTATAACATGGTGAAATGTTCTATTAATACAAAAGAATTCAACCTTCTGGCCCCCTTACCTGGACTGTTTTGGTAGAGTGATCTGCATGATTTAAAGTGTTTCTATCAGCATCTGGATCAGACTCTGTATGCCTCAGAGAAGCATGTGTTTTTTTCGTGAGGTCTGTATCTCTACTACATGAGTATCCAAGGTTAGCTGTAGGGGATAAACTTGGTTTCTTGATAGGTGATTCACCATCTGATCTGCATTCTAAAGGTCTGGAATTCTCTAGCTTTTCTTGCTCCAGGTCACTACTGTTGTTTTGTTGGTCTGACTCCTCACAAATTGAGGTTGGAGACACATTCTTCTTCTTACTACTGATATATAAGTCACTTAATTCTAAGGTCTCAGTTTTCAATAGTCTCTTCTTGCCTAATAAAACTTGTGCTTGGGTTGAGTCAGTATTAGAGCATAATCCAGGGTCATCAGATCCTGAAGTCCTTCCAGAGCTCTGTTGGGACTTTTGGGGTTCCGTGTCACTTTTAGTCCTGCGACAGTAAGGGGAGGCTGTGCTTGGACTAAGGTGATCATCAGGAGTCTGATGTTCACTTTCTGACTCTCCAACGCCACTATCAGTTATAAACAAAGGTTCATCCTGCGATAAGTCGACTGCTCCACTGGCAGGCTGCTGTAGTTCAGGCTCCCGCTTCAGATCACTAAGTTCCGCATAGAATTTTTCTTGATCAACAGAACTATTTGTATCTGTTTCATAATTTCCAACTTTATATGTGCTTTTACTGCTGTTTTCTTCTATCTGAACCACATTTAATTCTTGACCACTAAAATGTGCCCTTATTTGATAGAGATAAGTCATAACAGTCAGTTTGTCAGGGATTGCTAATAAAACCATATCAGAAGGTTCCAATAAACGGGAAATTCCAATGCTGGCAAATCCATCATAAGCCTTCAAAAGGAAACAAAAGATATATTGAATAGCTCAGACAATCCATTTGTAAGAAAACAAAATTTTAAAGCTTTTGTTACGGTTGTAGGGCACTACTGACATTATACCATGTGAAAATAAAATTTCAAGTAAAACATGATTAAAAGGAATAAAAGTGACCAAAAACTTACTAAATAACATATTCATTTTCAAATAGAATATAAGGAAAATATTAATTAAGATAAACAATCTCAATCTTAGAATTGAATTTTAAGATAAGGAACTAAGGTATAAAGAAAAATTAGACTAATCCATCTCCAGCTTTTGTCAATTCTACCAAGTTTTTTCTCTACAGTCACTTACAGTGATTTAGAGAAAAAGTATAGTAAGTCCAAAGACCTAATTACTCCATTATTTGATATAAAATACAAGTAAATGCTCTTTAATCTTGAAACAGAAACATTTTAAAAACATAATTAAGACTGACTTTCATAATCAAGAGTGACTTTTCATCCATTGTAGAGAGAGAGAAATGTTTTCAGTGTACAACACAGCTGAGAATGTACGGCTGCAGTGAATTTGTCTGTTAGCCTTTAAATGACCGTGGCATATCAGGTTTTTCTAGTTTTGAAGAATCAAAGCTGTTTGTCAATTTACAATTAATTAATAGTATCCTGACCTAACCCCTTGGCGTTGCTAGGAAGCATTAAGAGTATGGCTGAAGGTTTAGATATAGTCCCAGAGAAAGTAAGAACTTTGGATATATTATTGCTTTGAGATGTTAAAAAAATTTTGATTCATAATAACTTACATTTAGAAGCAAAATTTAATGTTTTTCTTAAAAGAATTACTAGGTAGGTATTTAATAATTTCAGAAGAATCTTTTTTTGTGCTTACATGGTAAACTACATTTCTGCCTTTGGATTTAATCTGTATTCTCATTATAGTTTGACAAACATGAAGAAAATGAGAAATAAATTGTGCCATTAAAACCTCTTCAATTTTCACAGAATAATGGTTTATAATATAGGTACTTCAAAATATTTACTCTAGAGATGGTTCTGTTGGTGTACATATATAGGCTTGTTTTATTTTACATGTTTTAGGAAAATTAAAGTAATTTTCCTCCTTGTGTGTCTTGACTACTTAACTTGACAGACATCAATAGCAGACCATGAGGAAAAGCACCACAGGCAGTATTCTAAACCTCTTCTAATTATCTAAAACACTGGCATACTGGTTAAGATCAGATGCCACAGGTAAACACCTTTTATAGTCAGCTCTTTTTACAGACCTGGAAAAATGATTAGCTTCCTTGTGAAGAAACTCCTGCTGGTGTGTTGCTTTATGTAGCAATCCATTTTATGCACATTAATTGCACTTTGAAACAAATGAGGTTTCTTTTACAGTAGGTCAAGATTTTGCAGCATTTTCCCATAGGCTAACTCCTGCTATGGTCAATCACTCGCCATGATGATTTGTGTGTGGAGAAAGAAGAGGGCTTTGTTTTTAATATTTCTTACATTTTATTTATTTAATTAATTAATTTGTGTGTGGGTGTGTGCATACGTGCACATGTGTCATGTGTGCATGCCTGCTATGGTGGGTGTGTGGTTGGAGGACAGCTTCAGGAAGTTGGTTCTTTTCTACCATGTGGGTCCTGAAGATCAAACTCTGACCTCCAGGCTCGCCAGTAGGTGCCTTTACCCACTGAACCACCCCGCTAGCCAAGGCTCTTTTTTTAATATTGTTTTTCTGGTTTCTCTTAAAGGAAATTCTAAGGCGTTAGCAATGGAAGAGTCCCTGCTAATGTATACGCTACACATATACATGGAACCAACAACAAAGACACCGTTTCTTGGCTGCTTTAAGGCCAATAAATAGTACACCGGGTTACCGGGAAGAACTGTGTAAAGCTGAAAATAATCTGCAGGTAACAACTAAGATACTCAATGCAAACATCAGGTAACGATGAAACTTATGACTACTCAGGCTAATATATACTGAGTAATGAACAGAATCAACATTAAAAGCCTTTCTAAAAAAAAATCAAGGATTATCTGTCCTGGAAGATCTAACTGAGATTTGGGGGTTGAGCCAGTATCTAGCCATGCTAAGCACTCACTTAGCTACATCCCCAGCCTCAAGAAAAAATTTAAATGGAATAGTCTTCTCTACACAGTAATATGCAAATCAAAGTATGCTCACCATTATTAATTTCTGGAAAAAATATGTAAAGTGTGACCTAAACCTTAATGAGATTCTCTGTATCATTTAAAAATGCATAGCTGGATAAAATTATTGTTTCTTTTTAAAAATTCTGAATAGTAAATGGAAAACTCTACTTAGTAAAAGTAATTATCATTTAACTGATAGGGCCTGCTATGTTGCCCAGGCTAACTCATGGGCTCAACAGTCTTCCTGCCTGAGCCTCTCCAGTGACTGGGGCGATAGGTGTGTGCGACCACAACTGACTACCAATTAATGGTTTATTTAATAATGCTGATATCTATATTTAAATGAGCTTAGCACTTTAGTCAAATGAAAGAAAATGGAGGTAAAGAAGTATTACACTTAAGGATATAATTTAATTAGTGAGAAAAGGTCATTTCACTTTAATAAATATAGGCTTTCCAAAATTATATAATTAGTAATTCATGAGAATGACTTATATGCCCATCAGAAAGGTGCTGGGACTCCAACCCAAAGCCTTTAAGTACTCTCCCATTTAGCTAAACCTCTAGTCCAAGAAACCTAATTTCTATGAAGAATAGGATACTGATTTTCAAAGACTACTCTTTTGGGGTAGCATATTTCAATTTTTTAGAAATTACAATTTAAAATGTATTGTTATTCTACACCTATATCATGCAATTGCAAAAAAACCTTATTTTTCTGACAAAAATTTTGGTTTTGGAGAATAATAAAAGTAAAAAAATTGTCTTGATTTAAATTCTTCTTAACTGAACTTCCTAATATTTTTTAAAAACTGGGGGTTCTGACACTCTAACGTCTATTAAAAACTTATGTTTCAACCAGAAGTTACTTATCACTTTGTTGTATGAGCCCTTCTGGAATGGGCCCCTTCTCAGAGTAATGTTTTATAGCTGTAAAGCACAAAGGTAAAAAGAACCAGCTATACTAAAAATACAACTATGAAGATATAACACTGAATTTGGCAAACAGTGAAGGATGTGTTTTTTATGAACATACCGATATGTATATACATATATATGTATATACACACATGATACACACATACATACAGTGTGTGTGTGTGTGTGTGTGTGTGTGTGTGTTTGAGAACAGGGTCTCCCTTAGCCCCAGCTGGCCTGACACTTGCTATATAGATCAGAATGGCCTTGCTCTCACAGCAGTCTACCTGCCTTTGCCTGCCAAATGCTGAGATTAAAAGCACACCCCACCATGATATATATGTATCATGCATATATATAACATATATACACAAAAACTTATTTATTTATTTATTTATTTATTCATATTTGAGACAGTCTCATACAGTCCAGACTGACCAAGAATGACTTTGAACCCCTCATCTTCCTGTCTCCCGCTCCCATATGCTGGGGTAACAGGAGTGTGCCACTATGTCCAGTCAGTAATTAATATAATTTTGAATTAATTAATTTAATTTTGACAAAGTTAAAAGGCATATGTAGAAATCTACAACCACTATAGAAAGATATGAAAATATCTGATTTATACAGGTACCAAAGTCTCAGGCATGCTAACATAACTATTTGTTGCCAAGTTGACAACAGAAGGAAAATATATTATTCAAAATACATTTTCCTACAACTATGTTCAAGGACTTGCTGAATTTTATGTACAGATCACAGGTTAAGAATGCTCATTCTTGGGCCTGGAAAGATGGCTCAGTGGTTAAGAGAACTGGTTTTTCTTGCAGAGGACTCGGGTTCAATTCCCAGCACACACAGCAACTAACAATTGTAACTCCAGTTCCAGGGGAATCCAACGCCCTCTTCTGACTTCCATGGGCATTGCACAGCACAGGTGCCCTTATACACATTCAGGCAATATACTCATACACATTAAAAAAAAGAATGCTCATTCTAAGACAATAATGACATTAGCTTTTCAGTTGAGAAATTTAATTCCATATAAACATTATCTACTGTGTTCAGAACTTGGTACTTCTTTGAATATAGAAAATTATATATACCATACTGTGTATTGTGGTAAATAGATTCCTCAGCCTTAGCCACAGTGAGCTGGCTCCAACAATTCCAATCTATGCAGCTATCCTGAAGGCTGACAGGATCAGTATCTTCATACACCAGCTAGAAAGCTCTGATGTAAGTATGTGAAAATTATAACATGGAAAAATTTTGTATAATTTAACTAGAAAGTAAAAAGAACCAATGTTGGGGCCTGGAGAGATGGTTCAGTGGTTAAGAGCACTGGCTGCTCTTCTAAAGGACCTGGGTTTGATTCCCAGAACCCACACGGGGGCTAACAATCACCTGTAACTCTAGTTCCAGGGATCTGACACACTTTTCTCACCTCTGCGGTCATTGTACAAGACAGGTGCACTTACATACATGCAAGCAATACACTCCTACACATAAAATAATAAATATATTTTTAAAAAACCATCCTTAACTCCAGTTCCAGGGAACTCTGAAGCCCTCTTCTGACCTCTGTGGCATTGCACGACACAGGTGCACCCACATACATGCAGGCAACACACTCATACACATAAAATAAAAATAATAAAATAGAATTTTTTTTAAAGAGAACCAATGTTCTCTCTCTCTCTCTCTCTCTCTCTTTCTCTCTCTCTCTCTCTGTGTGTGTCTTTTACAAACCTAGGTAAGGCATGGAAGCCTTGGGTATATTTTTCAACAACTAAATGTTGCAATAAAAGCAATACGGTTTAACAAATATTTAACATTTAATGAAGGCTCATACATACAATTTGATGCCAGTCTGGCACTTGTCTTCATTAAAGTCCATGACAAACCAGAATAAACCAGTCATCCAATTTAAATTGAAGGATGAAAACCACCTCTGTAAGCTGTAGTTATGACCTCACACAATACACTCACTTTTCACAAATAAAAAATGGCAGTGAAGCCAAAATTGAAATATGCACACCCCTTCCCCCAGCATTTCTTACCTTTTTGTTGTTCTCTTTAATATCTTGAGGATTCAGAAACTTGTAGTCACTGAGGCAGAAAATGGTACAGTGGGTATGTATAATATTTGATAAAAATAGCTGTTTGTAAAACAAACTGAATCCAAAAATTTGATAGTCAATAATACCAAAGAGTAACAAGCAATTTCAGAGTAGTTCAATCAACAAAACTAACAGTGTGGAAAAGTAAACAAACAAACAAACAAACAAACAGTGATTACATATTTCATTGCCTAAAGGTGTCCATCTGCCAGAGAAGGTAGAGGAAAGAGACTAGCTTTGACAATGAAACTTATTATGAGATAATTTCTTGTTATCAATATATAAAGAGCTTATTTGTCTCTTTCCATTTGAACACTAATAAAAATTTCATAATAAAGATTTTTATAAGATTAAAAAGAAAAATCAATTAGAAACAGGAAAATTTGATTTTAGGTACTGAGAAAGAACATTTTCTGGCATATATAAAGTCAAGTATTTCAGGATACATGCTTAGAAACTTTTTGTCCTTTTGAAAATGTCCATTATTTATAAAATTAATAGGAAATGAGAAATATGTCTACTTACATTAAGTCTGGTCTAAAGTGGTGCAATATTGCACAAAAAGATAAACCATTTCTCCATGATGTAGTAAAGTTGGTGATTTTTACTCCCCGGTAGTTTTTTGTGACTTCTTTGCACCATACAAGCAATGACTGACTAGCATTTGGCTTTTGCCCCAGAATAGGACTTGGTATTGGGCTTGGCTATGGGGGGAGGGGGAGGGAAGAAAGAAAGGAGAAACATTGAAGAATTTAATGGAAGATAGAAATTAACATCTTTGACCTAACTAGATCATTTGAAACCTTTGATCTGAGTTTAGGTCCTTCAAAACTGTCAATTTATGACGTTACCTCTAAGAGGGAGACATAACTCTTAAGTTATTATCTTTAGATTTTGCCCATGGCGTTTGCCTGACAAGGAGGCAGATACGCAACATTTCAAAATTTCAGTAAGAACAAGCTAAGAACATTCTTGCTGGAAAATCATATTAAAAGTTTTGAATACTTAAGGCTAAATATTTATGTAACTCTTACACCCTAAAAAAGATTTCCCAAATGCAACCATGAACAAATACTGTTCCTTTTTGATTAGCTAAAAACAATGCATTTCAAAGACTGTTAGTACAAACTGCAGGGCTACAATGTTTTCAGGCATAGAAAAATATAAGTAGCAGAGAAATCAGTATCACATTAAGTCTGTAAAATACAAGAATCACATACGTATTTTAAATAAACACAACAATGATAATCATATACAAACATCCTTCTTACTCGAATTTTACAACAGCAAAAATAAGTTTTACTTATTTATGGTAGCAGGTACTGGTTCCAGCAGCACACACCAGCATACTCTGGATACGGTCACAATATCTTTAACTTATTATTGAGAGCTATTTTTGAATATTAGATGAGTTGGTTGTATGTGCATCTTAAATCTTAAGCACATACTTTCCTTTGTCCACATACTTAAAACTACAGTTATGGTCATAAAACTATATTGTAGACTATATTGTAAGATTTTAATTTAAAATTTTATCACTCTTAAAAATCATGTCATCTTTTGCTAAACAACTATATTATTTTGTGATAATTGTGGAGGATAATATAACTAAAAACTATGAAGAAGTCTATTAAACATTTTTTGGTTTTTAATTTACTTTTAATTAAAAGTGCGACCCATGATAACAAAACTTAGATATAAAAGAGCCTTGCAAAATAAGGTCAAAGGAGAACATTTATTTACCCCTAACATCATTTCAGTTTAACTAATGATTAGTTTTTATCATGTTTGTGTAAGGAAGACCAATGATGCCCCCACTTGACAAAAGCAGGTTAGTGCCAAACAATTAAAATCAGCCACAGAAGGCGTGGTGGCTCACACCTTTAGTCCCAGCACTTGGGGGGCAGAGGCAGGTGGATCTCTGTGAGTTCAAGGCCAGCCTGGTCTACATAGTGAGTTCTAGGCCAGCTGGGGCTACAGGGAGATACTGTCTCAAAAAAAGAAAAAACAAAACAAAACAAAAATCATCAGCCAGATAACTGTAATTTATGTGGGAAAACTAACAATCATCAAATATGGAATTTCTCATTTTTATTGTCAGATTAACAAGACATTATATAAATAATCACGAACTGGAATAGCACTGTTCTTTGACTGATCACCTTTATAAATACTGAAAAGTTTATTAATCATAAAAATCAACAAATTTGGGGCTGGTTCTCGAGATGGCTCAGTAGGTAAAGGCACTTGCTGCCAAGCCTAATGCTCTGAATCTGATCTCCAGAACCCACATGGTAGAGAGAGAGAACTGACTCCTGCAGGTTATCCTTTGACCTTCACAAGCTATACACAAACACCCAATGCTGTACACATAATACAAATATATAAATGTAACAGAAAACAAACAAATTTGGATTAATTCTACTTAATATGAAGAAGTACATTAAAAACTGATTTCCCAATATGGGAAATTTACTTTAAATAATAAATCATGTAACTTTTAAAATATTTTACAAATTGTTTTTATTTTATGTATATGAGTGCATTGCCTCCATGTATATGAATCCATCCATGTAATGCTATGCCTATGGAGGACAGAAGAGGGTGTCAGATCCCCTGGAACTAGAGTTATGGATGGTTGTTAGCTGACACATGGGTGCTGGGAGCCAAACTTGGTTCCTCTGCAAGAGCAGCCAGTGCCTACTTTTAATCACTGAGCTATCTCTCCAGTCCCTTAACTTTTAATTTAATGTGTAAAAATAAACTTAACGGCCCACTGTGACTTTCAAATCCCTCCAATATCTTGACCTGGACTTAAGAGTGGGCTATGGAAGAACCAGGGGGTTCACTGAATTTGGCACACACACATTTTCCTAAAGTTTCCATTATTTATTTCTTTTCCTATTATTTCAATGATTGTTTTTATTACAATATTTTTCCATATAAAATTATATTAAGGCATAGAATCATTCGAGCATAGGTTCTATGTACTTCATTTAGATCATCTGCAATTATCATTACACTGATTCATTCAAAACATATTGTGCCATTATAACATGAACATACCCCGTCTCTAAAAAAGTCCAATATAAAAAGGCTAAAGGAGCTAAAACTAAAATTGGATTTGTTCCAATCAAAAGCCATGCATTCAGAAAAACTTAATGCACCTTTAGCAAAAAGAAATCATATGCTGGGACTGGAGAGATGGCCTGGGTTCGAACCCCAGCACCCATGTGGCAGCTAACAACTGTTCATATTTCCAGTCCCAGGGGATCCGACAGCCTCTTCTGACCTCCACGGGCACTGCATGACACAAGTGCACTTACCTACATGCAGGCAATACACACATACATATAAAATTAAAAAAAATCATATGCAATCGAGGAAACTGATGAACTTAGAAGCACCATAAATGGTCATGTTGGTTTACAGAAAAAGAAAATTAGAGTAAAACTATTAAATGAATCATCACCCCAGAACTACTGCCCATTTATGTAATATTTTGCAGAGGATCATAAAGGAATGAAATCATTTTGAAACTGTCACTATGTAACTGGATAAAATAGTTTACTTCTTGTTATAGTCAGGTAGCAGGTTACTTGACTTAAGTCTTCCTTGTCTGTAAAATGAGGATCATTACGGTAACTGTCTCATAGCGCTGTAGTGACAAGGCCTCCTCACTACCTCTCCCAGATCTAACCTACCACTCTCTCCCTTGATCATTCTGAACCACATCCACCTTCTCTTGTTCCTCAGAGGCCCCAGGTATGCTCCAGCCTCTGCAGGGTTGCTCCGTTTGCCCAGAACTTCCCTCAGGTGTAACTCCAAGGCAACCCTCTCCATGTGACATAGTCTGCCAACGTTATTGGTAACGTAACTTTTCTCTATCACTCAATCCCAGCACAGCATTCCCTCTTGCTCTATTTTTCCACAATATTTATCTTCTTGTGTCCCATATATACTTTATGTGTTATATTTGGTTATTGACTGTGCACTAAATAAAAACTAGTTTTCCCTATTTATTAACCTATCCTAAGTTACCAGATCAGTTCCTGGTACCTAGTAGGCACTCAGTAAATACTGTGACGTGAATAAAGGCATATAAAACACTTAGCAAAAACATATGATAAAACCTTTCAGTAAGTGGCAACTGCAATTACCACACCATCAGCATGCAGCAGCAGTGTGGGATTTTGAGTTTTTGAGGCTCTTTTCTAATTTCAAAGGCCATGGATTTCTTTAAGAAAGTGAAACAGTTTTTTATTTCTTGCTTTAACTAGTAAATAATATTGACATCTTGATTTTCTATGTGCAAAATAGTTTATATAAATGCATGGCGATGTATCTATTCTCACGTGTCTGATGAAACAAGCTGTGAATGACTTTTATTTGTTTATTTATTGCTTTGCAAAGAAAGGAAGATACCAAACTCTGTCCATCAAGGGTAGAAATGAACTTTCAAATATAATTTTAAAGTGTTAATATGGCAGATTATATGTTAAAGACACTAAGGCCATTGAGTTATTCTTCCTAACAACAGCATCTTTTGCAAAAAACCTAGCCAAACAATTTTCTGCTAAATTTCTTAAATTTCAATAGCTGTGAGAAACTGCAACTCCATTTGTCGTGTTACCTGTCCACAGTGTTCCTCTTTTGCTGTTTCCTCGTCCACTGATTAGGCAACCCATTCCTCTAGGTACTGCTCTGAATAGTTTTTTCTATCCACTTTTTGAACTGATTCTCTCTCAAGATTTCAACTATCACTTCCATGCATATCATCCCCAAATACACATTTGCAGTTCCAACGATCTCAATTTGACATTTCCAGCTGGCTGTCCTTCCTGCCATATAAAATGTGAACTCAGTATGTTCAAATCATAATCTTTCCTTGCAACCTGCTCATTTTCATTGTGATTGAAAACGATACTGTTATTGTCCCAAGTGTCTAGACTTCAACCTCAGAATCATTTAAATTCTTCCTTCATCTATCATTTCTTACTAGTTAGGTCATGGGTAATTGTATTATTTGTGTTACGGTTATATTTTTGTAGTTATTTCCTTTTGTTTAGGCTACTGTAAAATCTCTTGATTTTTGTTACAAATTCTTCCATTTCTGACCCATTATCAAAATATACATGTTCTTACAGCCCACCTAACATCTCTAATGATTCTCAATACACACAGATGGCAGAATATTTCTGTACACTAAATCCCAAATCATTTTTTTTTTTTTTGTCTTTCTGAGACACGGTCTCCCTGTAGCCCCAGCAGGCTTGGAACACACTCTATAGACCAGGCTGGCCTTGAACTCACAGAGATCCATTTGCTTCTGCCTCCCGAGTGCTGGGATAAAAGGCATGTGCCACCACACCTGGCTCCAAGTCACTTTTAATAATTTACTTTCTAGAATGATTCGTCATTCTCTAAAATCCCTATGCTTTCCTGCCTAAGGCCCCAGCTTCCCCACCTCCAGACTACAGTCACACAGACCACCACTTCCACATTGAGTATCTGCTGTCACAAATACAAATTTGCACAAAATCTCATCCTAATTCCTAGTAAGTAGGGAGAAGCAATTTTCAATGTTCTTTTTATTTTCTATTTCTCTTATACTACTTCTTAAAATTTTCTTTTACTGTACTATGTCCAATTCTCTCTACAAAGTGTTCCATTAAAATTTTTATTCATTCATAGAATACACAAG